TCGATGCGCTCTTTCCATTTCTGGCATTCTTTAAGTTGTAGCCCATAATTTTATGAAAAACAGGTCACGTTATGGCTTAGCTGCAAAGGGCCTATAGCACACTTGCACAAGGATGTCGTCCTGTTTTGACTTTAACCACCAGAAGTAATTCATTTTATTATAGACACGAATGTTTTACTTAACAAATAAAGAAGCCTATGCCGTTTATTACACTGTGATAAAACGCGACGGGCATTTGAGAACACGAGGTAAACTGTAAAAAACACGAGCCGCAGGCGAGTGTTTTCTACATTTCTCGAGTGTTCTCAAGTGTCCGTGTAATACACGGCTTAGGCTTCTTCATTTGCTTTATGATATAGATTTTACACGCGAAAAACAATAAAACACTGTTTTAAAACAAGATGTAATAAAACAAAACAATGTTTTATTATATCTCTCAGTTAGGGCGCGCGCTGTGATTGGTCAATTTAGCGGGCCGTATTCTCCTGCACGGCCCGCTAAAATTTCAAGTTGGTTTTGTTACCAAAGTGTTTCGTATTTATCGCCAAGTGTTCCTAACTTTTATAGCAAGTGAAAGTTTAAAACTTTCTTTTACAGCTGTACTTTAAATTGTGTAATAAAGCGTGCTAACGACTTAAGAGGCGCCCTCTGTAAATTTCAACTATGGCCATTTGGACCAGAATGAAATCAAATTCCTCAAACTTTCTCAGATGAATGGTCTAGATAAGTGATTCACAAAAGTATAACTTTCAGTTCAATTCGATTCGTATTTTAGCGCTGGGGCCACCATCTTGGTTTTGCCCCTCTGAGAGGGCTTTCAGCGGCCATTTTAGGGTACATTTTTAACAATTTGCCATACAAAGAAAACGATATAAATCCGGGTAAAAACCCTTTATTCGAGACAAGCAAATGTTTCTTGTTACATTGAGAGGCTGTTTTGGCAATTTGATCATCACCTGATTTTTTAAATTTCTTCCCTTTCGGACTACTCATAAAGCGCCATAAAAAAGGCGAAGTTTAAAGGAAAATATCGCCAAAAGTACATCACTTGAGATCCCAAAACT